CTAGTCGCTTGCTATTCTTAGGATTAGATTGAATAAATCGGTCGATGTAATGTGGAGTATCTTTAGATAGGATTTTGTGAATAAATTTGGCCTTATTAAAAATTAAACGTTTACTAAATGGCAGAAGCCTTAGATGTCCGTATAACAGATTTTTTTCGACGTAGTTTCTATCGGAAACTAGGCGTAAGGCCCTATTTTGTAGAGAACTCAACCGTTTGACATTAGATTTGGAGCAGCGGTCCCAAATTGTGGAACAATAGTCAATATGCGTTTGAATGTAGGATACGTAAAATATTTTACGTGTATTTTCGTCCAGAAAGTGCTGAATTTTTCCAAGTTGATATACTTTTTGTGCTACTTTTTTGGTCATGGCATGAACATGGGAATTCAAAGTTAGGTGGCTGTCAATTAAAACACCTAATGTTTTGTGTTCAACTACATTAACAATAGGTAGCTTGTCAACGATGAGCTCAAGCGGTGGCTCGTGTACAGCTAATGTTTGTAGCTTTTGCCTAGTTGTTATCACCATAGATTTAGTTTTATTAATGTTAATTTGCATGCGATTATCATTGCTCCATTTTATGAGATTATCTATTTCTTTCTGTAAAGAACGTTCTAATTCATTACAATTGTCATAACTAGTATATATTGTACAGTCGTCAGCAAACAGATCACATGTTATACTGAGATGTAACGGAAGGTCATTAATATAAGTAGCAAACAGTAGTGGACCCAATGTTGAACCCTGAGGAACGCCTATATTTAACTGTGTGGGTTTTGAATAACGGTTACTGAGGGAGACTACCTGCTGCCTATCAGACAAAAATGACTTTATTAATGTCACTAAATTTTCGTTGGTTTTTAAGGTCTTTAGTTTACTAATTAAAATATTGTGATCAACCATGTCAAAGGCTTTCTTATAGTCAACAAATACGGCACCACAAATTTTGCCATTGTTGATGTTAGGGTGCCAGTTGTCTGTCATTTTTGTCAGCGCAGTTTGACAAGAGTGTTTAGGTCTGAACCCTGACTGGCTATCGACTATTAGACTGTTGTTATTTAAATGCTGAAACATTATTTTATGTATGTGTTTCTCTAATGGTTTAGATAGTGAAGATAGTAGAGAAATGGGTCTATAGGTGCCTAGAGAATTGTTGTCAGCTGAACCAGATTTAAGCAGAGGATAAACCTTGGCAATTTTAAATGCTGATGGAAAGTAGTTCTTGGCAAGGCACTGATTATATATAAACGTTAAGGAATCACTAACGACAGGTGCAGCACATCGAAGGATTCGATTACTGATTCCATCCAAGCCAGAGGAGTTTGTTTGCTTCAAGTTGATGAGATAATTATACACTTCAGCAACAGACATAAGGGGAATCTCAGAAGGGATAGTCGTAGTGCATTTTTCCTCACAGAATGATGCTAGTAAGCGAGATGAGTGGAGGGGGTAATATCTGCAGCAATGAACATCACGAGCTCTGAATGCTGAATAAGATGAAGAAGATATGGTTTCTGCTGTCTACCACTCACCACTGTCTCTGTGATGTCAATGATTGTATTTATTATTTAATATTATCTAGATTACACTTCCAGTATTTACTTCACTGAGATCGTTTTTTTTTCTTCTTTCTTTCTATAGACTGTCTGCTGTGTCTACTGTTGTTATTTTGTCTACGCAGAAGGAGAAAAACCGAGGAGGATCTAAATTTAACATTTTCATCTTTTCTTCCTTTTTTTTTTCTTTTGCATCTTCCTGTTTCTAGCATTTAGGCATCAGTTCGTGATATGACTTCAGTCGGTGTATGTCTTGACACCCCCATTTCCCCCATTTCCCCTTTTGTGTGTGGCTGTCCCTCCCCAAATAGAGGGAAAGTAAAATTTCGTTCTCTTCCCGTATACTCGTTTTCCTGTTGTATATGTAAATTTCTTTCTTCTCAAACTATGGCAATAAAATGATGATAAAACATGTATGATATTCTTGTGATAGTCTGACTTCTTCTTTTCTTCTTCTTCTCTTCCACCTTATACCTCATTGAAGTGTCAGGGGGAGATGTAACATTCGCTGATGAGCTCTGTCAGGAGCACTAATAAGACTGATGTTCATTTCTGTAAGACTCTTCTTCTTCTTCTCTTAGCCACTAAATTACTCATTTTGGTTGCTCATTAATTGAATGCATTCCTATGTGAATGCAGCGTGCCAAAGGCTTGAAATAATGTTGCTTTATTGTCCACTAATTGTTCAGGAGGAAAAAAAAAGTGTAATAATAATAATAATAATAATAATAATAATAATAATAACAATAGTAATAATAATAATAATAATAATAATAATAATAATAATAGTAAAAAGAAAAAGAAGAAAAATAAGAAGAGGAAAAACAAAGTAATATACAATCTTTGGAGAACTGTAATATATCTAAGTTTCCCATCACGCTAGCAATGTCTTTCAAGTTATGTGTTTTTTAATTAGACAAAAATATTGATGACAGTGAT